TTCCCCCGACATTCTTCAGGCTGAAGGGTATGACCTTGTAACAATAAGTTCCCCTCGGGGTGAGGAATGCTGTTTTTTCATGGTCCTCTGGATGTATGACAATTTGGTGGTAACCCCTATATGCGTCCAAGAAGCTCATGCGTTGGTGATGCGTAGTTGCATCCACTAGTTGGTCGATTCTAGGAAGAGGGAAACAGTCTTTAGGATAGGCCCTATTCAAGTCTGTGAAGTCCACGTAGACACACCAAGTTCCTTTTTTTTTTCTCTTTACAGCAACGGTATTGGACAACCACGTGGGGTAATTTACTTCGCGATCGCTTCGGCCTTCAGAAGCTTGTCAACTTCGGCAACAATGACCGAGGTATGCTCGGCTGTCGATCGGCGACTATTTTGAATGATAGGTTTAGCTTTCGTGTCGACATTTAAATGGTGTTGTGCTACGCTGAGGTACACTCTCGGCATCTCTTAAGGTGTCCAGGTGAACACATCAATATTGCCGAGTAGGAATGAAACCAACTCTTGTCGCTCATCGGCATCGAGACAAGGGCCGATTATGAAGAAATTATTTGGTTTTTTTGCGATTCCAATCTGATCGAGATCTCCAATTGCCTTGTCAGTAGGGGATTTTCCAATATCCTTGAGGCTTTCTTGGTCCAGAATTTCGATCGAGTTTACTTTTATCTCCCTTAGCTTCTTCGCTGAAGTAGTAAGGTAGCATTCCTTCACCAACTTCTAAGAGCCTCAAATCTGATCAACGCCGTGTTGTGTTGGGAAGTGGAGTAACTGGTGGTAAGTGCTTGGTATGGCCTGCATTGCATACAACCAGGTTCTCTCCATGATTACATTGTACGGCGATGGAAGCTTGACGACCAGAAACTCTACGTCAATGGTCCTGGTGCCTACACGCACCGCAATTGTGACCTTGTCCAGAAGGTATTTGGGGTTGGCGTTGAAGCCGAACAAGGGATATTCAACCGGTAGTAGGTCCGAATCATTGAAGCCGAGCTTAAGAAATGTCTTGTAGTACATTATCTTTGAGGTGCTCCCCTGATCAATTAAAACGTGTTCGACAACGAATCTGTTTACTCGCAACTTGATGACAAGGGCATCGTCATGGGAGAGGATCACTCCTTCAAGATCTGTGTCATCGAAGCTAATCCTGTCGGTTTGATGAGGCCGTTTGGCCGGTGTGTATGGCTTGGACGGGCATGGTTGTAGCTGAATCATATATATGCTGTTTGGCAGCGGAAGACTATATATCATATGAATCATTCCAAGTGGAGGTGAGTCCGGGGGTAGAGCCATCGTGTTTGGTGGGTTGACCTTGTGGGGGAGGTACTGAACCAGTCGGCCATCTTGTACCACTTTCTCAAGATGGTCCTTCAAGGCATAGCATCTGTCGGTTTCATACTTGCGGCTTTTGTGGTATTCACATCACTGATCCCTCCGTCTTGTGTTGGGGGGCCCAATTATCTTGGCCGGCCACTTAAAGAACAGTAGATGTTGGATTTGGAAAGGATCTTGCTGATCGGCTCAGTCAACTCTGTATACTTCTTGTCGGACCGCTTAGGGTGTTTGTTTTCCACTTGATATTGCTCGATTGATCGGCATGAATACTGTTTCCTCGTTAGACAAGGATTTCAGCGGTTCTCTTATGTTGGCTTGCCTTGCGGCTAGGGCTCCTTTCTAGTGGTGCAACACTTATCGGCTGTACCAAGATAGGTGCTGTTATCTCCACGACCTTCTAACCAGCTTTGATGCGGCAGGCATCATCATCCACCTTGCAGTACTTCTCAACCTTTTTCATTAAGGCCCAGACTGTTTTGGGAGGTCGTCTGGTCAACGAGCTTTTAAGTGGACTATTGGGGTGTAAGCCTATCTTAAAAGCAGTGATGGCCATTGAATCATTGTAGGCATTGTCAACCAGGTTGAAACATTTCCAATAGCGCTAAGTATTTATGGAGGGTCTTTTCCGGCTTGATTTGCATTGCCCAAAGCAAGTCTGCTTGCTTTGGCTGGATCTCGTTGGTGATAAATCTTGCCCTGAAGGTTTTTTAGAGCTGATTGAAACTCTTGATTGAGGCCGGCTTGAGTTTATAATACCATCTAACAACCAATGGTCCCAGGCTGCTAGGAAACATGCGGCACATAATTGCTTCATCATCAGTGCGCAATGTCATTGCTTGCTTGTAATGGCGAATGTGATCCATAGGATTTGATTTACTATCATACAAAGTGAACGTCGACGCTTTAAACTTTTAGGCAATATGGCCTTTGCGATTCGTCGTACAAAAGGATTATGTTTGTCCTCTATGTCCAAGCCATCATCTCATTTTCCTCGCCTGTGTCGCATATATGGACTTCCCTCAAATGAGCTAGACATGTCAACTCGCCTTTTTTCCTGGGCTCCTGAGATGATGCATCGGAGGTGTTGCTGTTATCATGTTTCTAATGTCGACGCCATTGATTATCCTTCTTCTTCTCTAGCGGCCGGCCCCGGTCATGATGTGGTACAGTCTGTTGGGACTTTGCTAACTCCAGGGCTAGTTCTTTATGTAAACGTTCGTTATCAGCCACCATATCTTCCATACGTTGTTCGTTTTGCTTTGCTTGGTCCATCATTGTCTACATGGTTTCCTACACCGAGGTTGAAGACAAGGATTGAGCTACTGGGTCAAAGTTCAGGGCTTTTCGAGCTGTGATATTTTTCAGACCAAACATGGTTCTTGGTGTAACATCGTCTGCAACGAGGGAAGGATCATCTGTTATGTTTGCCTTGAACGAGCTTGAGTATTCCTACAGACGGCGCCAATTGTGGTGAAATGGATTTGGAAATACTCTCTAGTCCAAATAGACCTTCTTGATCCTCTCTTCTCTACGAACAAGATAGTCCCATCCTTTATCTTTGTTTTTTCACTATCTTCTTTTCTTTGATTGAAGCTTCTCCTTTTATAATGTTTTCTAGGGGCTCACTGGACACCCTGACCCCATCCTTGGGCCTCCATACATCCCATGGGATATATGGCTCTAGCGGCCTTTCAACTTGGTTTTATTCGGCTACGACCCTTCCTAGATGGACCTAGCACGGGCCAACTTGTCTTTGGCCCCCTTTTCATCGGCTACGGCCCATGTATGGACCGGAGAGCCGATTTTGGGCCGATTTATACATGGCCCCCTTCCCGAATGGGCTAGTTTGTGGGCTTCCTAAATAATCTTACTTATTTGGCTCCCACATACTATAATGCGTAATATAAATGACAAAAATGCAGAGGTGATATGCGGGGCTTCACAATGATGCAGCCTTATCTTAATAATTTTCTTTTCTTTTGACTGATAAAAAAATAAACCACAAAAATAGATAATAATGTGCAGAAAGTGTGTAAGGAAGGAATTTTCCTTATATATATAACTTCTAATTCGTAAATTATGTAGAAATGTTGATACATATAAATTGTGAAATGTTATCTAATATTTAAATGGACAAATTATACTAAACTTTCCTGAGATTCAAAAAAAAAAAAAAAAAGAAAAAAGTAAAGAGCTGTCCAGGCTTATGGGGCTCACCACAGGTCCGCTTCAATTATCGAAATTGTTTATTTTGTTAGGTCTTTTATGTATATTACCTATATAAAAAATTAAATCGATTCGATAATTATAATATGTTTAATTTATCGTGTTTGTCATTAAAAAGAAGAAGAAGAGGGAATGGTGTATTTTTAAATATACTTTTAACTCAATTTGTACAAATTGCTTTCACAAAAGAATATATTTAAAAATATCTATAAAAATATTATATAGTCAAGGAAATTCCATATTACAATTAACCTAACACAGCTTCACTAATTTATCATCACAACTTTTAATTAGTTTGGTGTAAGTGCATCACGATGGGGCTTTTAGACATTTGGGCTAAAACTATCAACATGAGCTCTCAAAATAATATTCTATCATTTCTCCTATCTAAAAAAAAATTATAATAATATTCTATCAGCAGTCTACAAACTCATAAAAAAGATTATTATTTAATTATAAGAAGATAACAATATCACAAATGTATTTTTTTTTTTTTGCTTTTATTTATTTATTTATTTATTTTTTATCATCACAAATGTCTATTTTATTTTATTTTTTCATTTGACTGAAACTAATTAACAACTATGGAAATACTTGAATTCATAATATCTACTTATTACACGATCACAATCACGAGCAAGGATCCTTTAGAGTTATTTTTTCTTAAAGTTTTTTAGAGTGGTGCATTGTGTGGTTGAGATTTAATGACAAGTCACATCAATTTTTCAATATTAAATCTCAACCACACAATACACCACTTTAGGAAACTTTAAGAAAAAAACACTCTAGAGGATCCTTGGTGCACAATCACAAGCCATCTTTCGACTTCCTCTCATTCTTTCCATTGCGGGGTTGGTGTAAGTTAGGGAGTGTTTGGCAAGTTAGATTTTAGTTTTTTTTTTTTTTGACTAAAGTTTATAAAAAGATTAAATAGGTTAAAATAGTTAATAAGATAAACTGTCACATTAAATTTATAATCATTTTATTTTTTTTTCATAAACATCACAACCAACTACAAAAAAAATCTAATTATTTTCTCAAATATAAAAATTTTAAACTACTAAAATAATTAAAAACTAAAATAACTTAACAAAATAACAACTTCTCAAACCCCCGCTTAATTGGTCAAGGTCCAAGGGATCACACTTGTATGTGCATCGGATTTTGTTCCAATTCTTTGTCCCATACTGTACGGAACACCATGTGACCTTGCAACCAGTCAATCCGAAAAAATTCAAGGTTTAGAAAGTGCAAAGATAATGAGTAAATCTCGCTCATTCACCAAACCAACTTCCACCCTTCAAGGTTTTGAGCTTCAAAATCTCTACCATTAACCACCTCACAAATCGCAACCCCTTCTTCTCCAATCTCTCTCTCTCTTTCTCATGTTTGCTTAAATTGTAATTTTGTTTTCAAAATTGTTTGGAGTTTTCTATACATTTTACCGTCTTGTAATAGATTGATAGATTAACGAAATGGGTCGTGTTAAACTTCAAATAAAAAGAATTGAAAACAACACAAGTAGACAAGTTACCTTTTCCAAACGTAGAAATGGACTCATCAAGAAGGCCTATGAGCTATCTGTTCTTTGTGACATTGATATCGCTCTCATCATGTTCTCTCCATCTGGCCGTCTCAGTCACTTCTCTGGCAAGAGAAGGTACAATATTTCATATATCTTTGATGTACATATTTATCAAGTATCAAGAAGCCACATGCATGCATGTTTTTCTTTTTCGTTGTGTGTTGCTATTTATCTTCCACCTTTTGTTAAGTATATGAGTATTTTTGTTTCTAAGGTTTATTATGCGATGATACTTTTATTTATTTATTTTTATTTTATAGAATTGAAGATGTGCTTAGCCGGTACATAAATCTTGCGGATCATGATAGAGGAGGGTACGATCTTTTTCTAGTTTGATGTTAATTTTGGTTATTTGATTGTGTTGCTTCATGAATAATTTTTACCAAAAAATTGATTCCAACATTTCTTGTGAATTGCAGCATTCTTCAAAATAGAGAGGTATGATGGTATACTCTCTTGGTACTCGTTGTATTGATTTATTTTTTTGAGAAATTAAAATATTGAAACAAAAAATTGTATCCATATGAATGCAGTACTTGATCACCACCCTAAAGAAACTAAAAAATGAAGATGACATGGCCCTTGAATTTGCCAGGTTTTCCTCTCAGTCTCTCTCTCTCTCTCTCTCTCTATATATCAACATCGCTATGAATTGAGTTTTCTAACTGTATTTTTTTTTTTCCCCGAACCAGTCCAACAGAGCTTAACTCAACTGCAGAGGTAAATGAAAAATTTTCCCATTTAGAGAGCTCTTCTCTTATGGAATAAAATCACTTTTGAGTTTGCTTATCATTAATTTGTTTTTTTATTTTTATTTTTTTATATAGGAACTTCAACAAGAAATCAATAATTTACAACATCAGCTGCAAATGGCTGAGGAACAACTGAGGTTAGAGAATTTTTTTTTTTTTTTTAAATGAACTATTAAAGATTAACTATGCATGATTGATGTTGTCTTATTTACCATGAATTTTGATGGATTATTGAAAGTAATATGTGTAAATTGTTTTGTGTATGCACAAATCAATTCAAAGTATATTTGAGCCGGACATACTGGGGTGTACATCAATGGAGGAACTAGAGTCATGTGAAAAGAACCTCTTGGAGTCAATGAATCATGTCATTCAAAGAAAGGTAATGTAACTAGGAATGAAATATCTCAAAAACTGATTAATTCATGTATTCATTTTTAATCCCCCTTTCTTTCATATTACAGAAATACTTAATGGGTGATCATTTGTCGAGTTTTGACCATCAAAGTATGCAGGTAATCAAACTAAATGTGTATTTTCAGCTTGTATTGTGTTTTTAATTTTCGTACCTATTGGAAAATAACAATCATTTCTTTCTCTTAAAAGCAGATGAATTCATTGGGGCAAATGTTCTTTGAAGCACAAGTGGGGATGCCAACAACCTCATTCCAAAATGATTTAGTTAGTTGGATGCCACAGAATGGAGATAATCAAAACCATATTTTTGGTAGTTCTCATGATCATCCTTGTATCCCTCTAAGGTATAGATGGATGTAATAACCTTAATATGTTTCTCTATCAAATCTATTAACCTATAGACAAAAATATTAAGAACGGTGGTTATGGCAAAGATTTAAAGTACTTGACTAAATAGCTTGAACAATGATGCGATTGAATGTGTGATTTTGATCAAGCCTCTACTCTTCCTATGATTAATATCTTCCACTTCGTTAGTTAAATTCAATTTTTATTTTTTATTTTTTATCAGTAAAAAGAAATTTATTAATGTAAACGCAGATTATGGGCATAATATTCTTTAGTTCCTCCATTTTTTAATTAATTGGATTGTCCATTAAGTGATGAATTTCTTGTGTTTAATTTCAGGAATGATTCACCAACAACAATTTACAATTCATTATCCCATGCAACAGATGAAAATGGAGAGCCAAACAGCATAAGTGGGTGTCCCATTCACAGCCCAAATGATGATCACAGCCTTTCACAATGGCACCATGCCTGCACTTCAAGCCTCTTCTCATCCCTCATGCCATCAACCGCCTTCCCTCAAGTAATGGTCTACACATCTTAAAATCCTACTATCTATTATGGCTTTAAATATTTGCCGATGCATATATTTTTAGCCTGTTGATACTGATACACTTTGGTATATGAATAGAAATGAAAATCACATCTGTTTCAACCAGTTCATGAAACATATCAGTTTATATCTGATTCATGACCCAATTGATAGAAACAAAATTTTCAATTGTTATAAATCTCTTTTTATTATTATTATTTTAGTTTTTGCGGATGATTTCAAAAAATTGACCATTGTGTCACTCAATTTTTGATATATTAATTGCTCGATATTACTGATATATACTCCAACCAACACCGGTTTATCTCTCAATTCTCTATTTAAAATCTTGCTATTTCTCTTTTTGCTCAAGTTTTGAGAACTTGTTTTCTAAATATTTTTTTTTGAAAAATTAGAAACTTGTTTGAGAAATTAAACACAAAAACAATATATTTAAAAAAATTGAAAATTATTTCCACCTCAAAAAATATAAAACTGTATGAAAGTACTAGGCGTTTTCATTTAAAAAAAAAAATTTCACCAAATTAGTTTTTGATATATTTTTAATTAATTAATTAATTATTTATTTATAGAAAACACATTCTAAAAACTCAATAGTTATAACCATGTTGGTTTGGGCAGTCTATTCGGAAATTTACTCTGATTTTAAATGGGTCCCTCGCTAGTAGATGGTGGGATTAATCCTCCAAGGATTAGTTGAGGTGCACGCAAACTAGTTCGGATACCTTGAGTTATCAAAAAAATAAAAAAAAACATAGAGCCGCCATGGCCTAACCTATGGCACAGACACCTAACACAGACAATGACCATGACAGCCACAAAAATGAGGCCAAATCAACATGGTTATAAATCACTTAGACCCCAAAATGTTAATTACATTCTCTATGACAGGAATTACAAATAAAAGCAATAACAAAACATGATTAATTAAAAAAATAATAATTATTTACCAAATAATAATAATAATAATAATAATAATAATAATAATTGTTGTAATTTCATTCTTCTTGCTAGAATGATATGGAGGTTAGTCCTCCAGACATAGCAGCTGCCGAGCAACATCATCACCAAGTCGAGGCCACATCAACTTGCCTGGAGGTGCCATCTAATGAAGAAGATGGAAATTTTGAGAACAAATTGCCCGAGCTTAACATGGAATCAAGTTAATATAGTCCTACTAAATTTTCTCCGGTCATGAATCAAACTGTGCAAGGAGGCATTGTAATTAGGGCCAGAGAGAAGAATAGTAATGAACCTTATACGGTATTGGGCTTGGTTGATCTTGGAAGTTTTGAAGACAGTTGTGTACCTATTAGACATGAGCTTAAGGAATTATATAAATGTAGACGACGACAAAACAAAAAATTTAATGTTCTAATTTATTGCTGTTTACATTGTTCTCTCTCTTACCTTAGGGCAGCGCCACATTCAATTGAAGTGTTTATTTGAACACCACCCTAAATTGTTCTCCTCCTTATTTTCATGTAATATTTTTCGAACACCCTAGGTTGTTTGGATTGTTTTCTCACCATTGATTCAAACCACACCCCCCCCCCAACCCCTCTCAAGATCTTGGACTATAGTGCGATAGTGATTTATCACACCTATTTTTTTTTGTTGGAATTAACACCTTTATGAGCTTGTTTAGTCAATTCATGAGCTTGTTTAGGTGCGATTGAGCTCTAGTGAAAACATAAACACCGTCTAGTAAAATAATTTGAGATTGATTGCTCCTGTATATATCAGAATGATCTTGAGCAAGTGTCTAGATGAGCTAGCTGTAAATTAAGCTTGAGGAGATTGATCTATCTTTGAGTCTTAGTCAAATGACAAAGTATGCCTCATCTTTCTTCTATTGCTTGTTTTTATTTAGTTTGTTTTACACGTTATTAATTTTCAAAAAAATTAAAAAGAAAAGGGAAACAATTTTTTATTCTTTTATTTTTTTACTTGTAGAGAAATTATCCACAGGGCTACCAAAACACTCATGCATCCCTTTAATATAAATAATTCAGTTGATAGTTGGGTAAATTACATAGGTAGTCCCTTCAATTTGCTCCTTGTGTCGATTTCGTCCTTATTGTTTTAGTTGTATCAATATTTCCCTTTAATTTTTCATATTGTGTCAAGATAGTATAATTTGTAATGCCCCTCTAGAAATTGGATTGAAATTAACAAACAAAATGGTTCGTTCACTATTTCTAAAGTGATTAAGAGGTTGGTGTCTAATTTGAAATGGTCTATTGTCATTTGAATTAACCATTTTATCCATGATTTCTATCAAAATTCTTAATGAATGTTATCAATTGGACTATATGGAAACAACATCAAAAAGGGTAGTGTGCTGCAAATAAGCTTAAGGAAGGCAGTTGGCTTCCTCTTCTTGATCCTAGGACTAAGTGTTCAAGAATCTGGTATGACATTACCCCTACTGCTACCCAGAGTGTTAATGTGCATCATTTTTTTTTATTTTATTTTATGGACAACTGTCAAATCTTAATTGGGGATGGTAGAAGAATGATGTTTTGGGCTGATAAATGGTTTCGCAATGTATGTCTCAAAGAGGATTTCCTAAGACTGTTTAGACTTTCAACTAATAAAGAGGGGTCTCTGAGATTGTTCTATGATAGAAAAGGAACTTCTGAAGGATGAAATTTAGCATTTAGAAGGCCTCTCTTAGAAAAGGGAGGTAAGTGAGGTTTCAAGGCTTGTAGCTCATTTGTCCACAGCTCCTCCTCTGTGATTGGAAGTTGTTGACTGCCCAAGGTGGGAGCATCATCTTTTGGGAAATTTTCTATCTCCTTATTGTATGATTTCTGCGGTTCGTGTATTGGCCCTAACCTCAGAATTACCAGATTGGTATGGAATAATTATGTCCCCTCAAAGTTCAATTCTTTGGTTGGTTAGCATGGAAACATAAAATCAAGATAGCTATTTTTTTCTGAATAGAATTGGAGTTCTTCAAGGAAATGTTTCTACCCTTTGTGTCTTCTGCAAGTCTGATCATGAATGAGTACACCATGTACTAATATTTTGCCATTTTACTTGGAGAGTTTGGTCAGAAGTGGTGCCGTGGTGGGGTATTTAGTGGGCAATACCAGGATCAATTGAAGATTTACTTCATTGGTAGGCAGGAAGCTGCTTTAAGAGATTGGAAAGGAAGATATGGAGAGCTATTCCTTTATCAGTGCTATAGTCTGTTTGGAAGCATAGAAATGAATGTGTCTTTGGGAATACAACTTGATCTAACTCAACTTAATGAGCTTATCAAAATCAGAACTGCCCTTTGGCTTAAACCCTCATCCAAGGATCTTTACTTCTCAACCAATGATTTCTTGTTCAATCTTTGGCGAATTAGAGTCTGTATTGGTGGTGATTGATCTGTTTAGCTATATAGGCTGATCTGCTGTCTCCTCGTTGAGGGTTGTGTTACATAGATTGAGGGTTATGTTGCTGTTGATAAAACTTATCAGTTGGTGGGAGAACTCTGGCAGGTTATGGTTGCCCTGTTTAGCTAGGGGAAGTGCTAGCAATTGGTTTCCTGTGAGGCTTATTTGTCATTTTGGTGTTAGTTGTCCTTGGGTTAGCCCCTCAGCAACTTGGTAGATTGCTAGCAAATAATTGGACTTGCATTGCGGTGCCAACATAGTGGCGATCATTTTGCTTGCTTTGATGCTCTTTGTAAACCAATCTTCACTGTATTTGAAGAAAGGATTAAGAAAGGAGAGAGTCCGTTTGATTACAAAAATCAAAACAGAATATAATAAAAAAAAGAAAAAAGAAAAACAGATTCTTATTTTGTTACAGAAACAAAACACAGAATCTGAAAAAGAAAAATTAATAAAAGCAAGAAAGTAAACTAATCACATATAGTATTGTTTTCTTAGAAATTTAGATCAAGTCTACTGTTCAACATTGTCTTCTTAAGACAGATTCGTCCTCTCTAGGGTGTTCACAGATTATGGATGTCTATCTTCCAAGATGAAATGATCTATAACGAACAATAGCTGTTCGCACAATGAACACACTTTGTGTATAGATTCTTTCTCAAGGAAAAGAAATGCAGAAATATGTAGGAACTTTAAGGAAAAGAAGAACGAAAATTTTATTACAAAATCCACGTGAGGGACTGACTATTTATAGAAGTAGAAGGTGGTTGTTTGGGTGAATAATAAACAAGTATGAACCTGTTCAGGTTTGAAGCTATAGGTATGGAAGCTGTACAGAAAAGATTGAAGAGGTGCAAAGGCTTACCTGCCAAAATTTTAATTTTTCAACCAAAATTTGAATTCAAAACGGTCAGAATTTATTTTTCAAGAAATAAATTCAAATGTTTTTAGCTTAAAAAGAATTAGTATTGGGTCGGACAAGCCCAACCCAACCTCACACCACGCATCCGCGCCATGCTCGCCCGCCTGCCCGATCGGACGGATGGCAGCTGCGGCGCGCGCTCGCATAGTTATTTTGGGTCCAATGGGTCTAGCTCACTTTGCCCATAATCTTCCCTCACTACAAAACTTGAGTGCCCCTTGGAACCTTCCCCAAGGTCCAAACTCAAAGTTTATAAACCCATACAATATTAGCTTAGCCAAGCAATGTGGAACGAGCTTTCTTTCCTTCAATTTGGGAAACCTACCAAAACACCATTTTCATGGAGCTTACTTTGGCATCAATTTTTCATTCATCCGATAATGGTTTTGAACAACCAAATATACTATGTGAATCACAGCGCGACATAGAACGCATTACTACCAGTACTCGCCTTAACTGGAGTTATTCCCAGTGATGTGTGTGTGTAAATTAAATGTATAAATAAAATAAACAACAAAATAAAATAATTCAAAAAATAATTATATAAATTAAATTCCAAATTAATTGCTTACAGAAATTATAAGGCGAGGTTTGTGTTGGACATAATCTTCTTAAAGTAGATTTCGCCCTTGCACTGGTGCTTCGAGATTTACCGGCATCTACTTCCCAGGATGCAACGACCAACACTTGATTTGCAGCACTACAAAATCAAGTCTGGCAAACTAAAACTCTGTTGTGACTCTCTCTTTTAATTCTTAAAAATAAATGCGGAACAGATGCAGAAAATAGGAAGACAAAAAGGGAAGAAGAAAGTCGAAAATCTTAAGGAAATTTTTTTCAATTGAATGAATTGTTGGATGACAGGCTTTATATAGGATAACTGTTCGGACAGATTCAATAGGTAGAAAACCTGTTTGGATAGATACAGATTTGTTCGGTTTGAATTCAACAGGTATGAACTTGTTTTGAACCTGTTCAGGTGAGTATGAACCTGTTTGGGATCTGTTTGGGTGAAGGAAAAAAATTGGACCAATTTATTTTGAATTTTGAAACCAAAATTAAAAATAAATTACAAATGTTTTTGGCCCAAAAAAGATAAGTGTTGGGCCGGGTGAGCCCAACCCAACCTCATACCACGTACCCAAGCCCAGCCCCCCCCGACCGGACGAACGGCGGCAGCGCGCGCGTGTGTTTTTGTTTTGGTTCTAATGGGTCTAGCTCACTTTGCCCATAACCTCACCCTTTCCCAAACTTGGGTACCCCTTGAGGCCAATCCCAAGTATCCCAAGCTAGAATATATAAACCTGTACAAATCCTTAAGCCTTTTCAATGTGGGACAAGCACATTTTATAAATGTGTAGGAAACCCACCAAGAGCCATTTCTATGAACCCGAAAATGAGCGTTGAATTCTTATTCATCTGGAAATGGTTTTGAGTAACCAAATACACGATGTTATTCACTACGCGACATTAAACATAAACCCAATTAGTAACGTTAAACATAACGCTTGGGTCCCACCTTAATTAATGCTCAAAGTTAGCAAAAAATAAGGTTTTTTTAAAGCCATACAAAGCCATTTTCCAACAATCCCCCACATGAATAGAATTCACGATAATGGATATGCAACAAGATGCAAACAAAAGAAAGAGTACATTAAGAAGATATACCACATCGAGATAGGTAGCTTTTGGTTTTGAACTTTGAACCTCATCTAGTGAAAACCTATTGGACTTACTGGCCAATTGGGGAAGGTCACTTCGTGAGCACCCCCGCTCGCCCGATCAAAGATCGGCCTTTACTAACCATGATATCTATTTTTGAAAACTTTGTGTATCCTTATTCTGGTTATTAGCCTAGGTTATTATGTGATGCACACAGCATATAAGTATAGACTGGGTCGCTCGAATTGGAACAAAATATTTCCTGCTTGTTTATTTGAAAGATGGTTTGCTACTCGCAAGTAGGCTTAAAATGCAGATTTTGCCACCCTCGGGTGGGCTTAGTAAAGATGGTTTTGCCACTATCTAGTGGGCTTAAAACTCACAGTCAATGATTTGTTCCAATTTAAACAAACCAACCTTCACCCACAGGCATTCAGGCAGTTATATCACATAAGCATATTGCCTCATGGTAAACATGCTATCATGGCATTCACTCACACGCATGCAAGGATGCTAAAGCA